CATGGATGACGTAGCAAATAAGGTGATGAAATACAAAAATATATATAATATTCCAAAAATCTAAACAAAAAAGGAACTTTTTCAATGGGTATAGTTGAAATTCATTGAAAATATATAGATAAGTCAAAATACAAAATTTGAGGAAGATTGGAGGTGATTTGGACTGATTTTGTATCAAAATTCGTAATTAAATCGAGTTCAAAAAAGTCTTCTGCGACACATGTATCACGCATGTATCTCACACACAGGTATACATGGATATAGATGTGATACATGATTGATACAAATATGATACATATGTGATAGACAAATGATACATAGGGTGATACACATATCAATTTTTTTATGTTCAGTTTTTACTTCGAATTTTCAATTCAAACCACCTCAAAACTTTACCAAATCATCCCAAAATTGAGATTCAAGCTCCTTAAGTTGTGCCCAATCTATTCTAGTAGCACCCACTCAAAACAAAGTAAAAATTTGATATTTTCTTGCTACAAATAGCTTATTGGCTAATATTAGTAATATTTTATCAATTGGTCAATTTTTGTAATGAGCTACTTATAAATGGACATAGCTGGTAATTTCCCTAAGTTAAATTATGTATGAGGCATTTGCACAAATGGCCTTTAGAGATCAGCATTTAACCAATGTCCTTGTCACGCCTCCTTTTTTACACCCCGAGGGTATATAAGGGAGTTTTTCCAATTAAAGTGACATTATTCGAAATGAGATTATTTATTTATCAGAGTTGCCACTTGAAATAAATTATGGTGTCCTAAGTCACCGCTTTATTTTAAATCCCAAATCGAGGAAATTTCGACTTTCCTTTTTGAAGTCTGCGAACCAGAAATTCTAGATAAGGAATTCTGTTAACCTGGGAAAAGGTGTTAGGCATTCCTGGGTTCCGTGGATCTAGCACGGTCGCTTAGCAATTTATACTTGGCCTAGTTGTTTAACTACTCATTTTTATAACCTATGTGCATTTACCTTTTTAACCGCTTTTAATCACTTGATTTATTCATAATTAAAGAATTGAATTACGCGTACGTGTACTCTTTTCTTTTGGCGCGTCAAAAATCATGTCACGCGAACGTGTCCACAATTAATAACGCTTTGTTTATTTATTTAAGAAGAGTTTGGTTGAAGTTGTGGGAACGCAAACCTCGAGTCTTTTAAGAATTTAATTTGCAATTATATTACACGAACATATATATAATCGCAATACTAATCTAAATCGAGCCTAAAGCAAACTACGATGGTTTGAATTAATAAGAAATTTGCGAGGGCCATGGAAAATTTAATAATGGCACACCTCGAATTATCGGGTTCCTAAGTTTAGTTTTGAGGGCCATGAATTGTACATTTGGCTAATATGACACATCTCAAACCACTATTAAGAGTCTAATTAATTAAGAAAGATTTAAAAAGCATTCTAATTATTTTAGGCTAATGTTCCAACTTAACTTAATAATTAATGGGTTTGTACTAAGGAAATCGAGACTATGGCTAAAGACTTGGGCTGGCAGCTGGCCCAATAATCCAATATAGACTGTCATGCTATAATATGGAAGAGGACTGGGCCTTCATGAAGCCCATGATGCATACAAAATCGGTGAAGGGGTATTGGGCATAACTGGGCTAAAGCTGACAACCCAGTTTCGTGATTCATTACTAACACCTGAAGCAGACTGTATCTTTCATGAAAGCTAGAATTTGAGCAAGGACTGACAATCTTTAAACAAGTGCAAACACATTTTCTGAGACTAACATACGTTATACAATGAAAATAAACTTCCTAATGTAACAACAGCTCGTTTAATAAATTGTTCATCATTTAACATCACAAGTTTAAGGATCACAGCTCATGCATACTCTGATTCAAACCAGCACCTTTAAATAAAATCATATAACATCGAGCTTTTCCAAATAAAACAAAATGTAAAGATTAAGCTAAATCCGAAAATTCTCAGGTCGGAAATCAAGTTCAGAATCCATTTGAAAGTCATTTTAAATTCAAGGTGCTCATACATGAGCAAAACAAACTAAATGCCAAATGCTGAAATAGTTGGACCATGTTTCAGGCCATGAGTAAGCAACCCAAAAAAAAAAACAATTAATGAAAACAAAGCCTAGATCAAATTTGCTAAAACAAACAACATGAATGACCTAATATGATGAGCACTTAACCTATAGCTATGGGAAGGATCCCCAAAACAGTCAGACTCACAAATCGAACTAGAAGGTCACAGTCCTCACTTTATACATATTATCCCTAAACTTGAGAGCACTCTTAAATCAAACAACATTCAAACAAAAAACCAAATCCAGCACTTAAGACCAAATGTAATATCAGGGAATGAAATATATAAAGTAAGCTAGACTAGAAGAATCATGAATAAAATATGACAAATTCGAGCAATAATCAACAACAGGGGACTAATATTTGTCATTTTCTTCAACTTGGGTTACATGTCTCCACACAAAAAGCTTAAACAAGCTTCATTTACAGTCATAGTTCAAAAAGAGTACCTGAAAATTAAAAGGGAACCAAAGGGAATGAAGAGTTAGCAACAGCAGCAACAGAATCAGCCTAACAACCAGCAATAGAACAGTACCCAAACAACAACTCAAACCAAACTTTTAAACCCAAACTCGAGCCATTTTTCACCCAGATGCACGATTTTGGAAATTTTCAGAAGTTCTAAACTAACAAAGGGATTCAAAGAACCAAAAATCAATACCAATTTGAGCAATTTTCAATATTTTTGGCATTTGAAAAGAACTCAGTTGCTTATGAAATTTCAGTATTTTCTAGTCTTTTAAGTGTTTTTTAGTCTCTAAAACTCTAAAATCTGACTTGAAAGTGAAGCAATTACCCTTTTATATTGAAGTTTTAGGGCATCAGAATGAGTTCAGGCTTTTGCCCTTTACTCCTTTTTCAATTTTCGTTTTTGCTATTCAATCCCTAATTTAAAAATCAGCTTTTCAAAACAGCCCCAAACCCACCTTCCAGGAAGCTTCCCAAGTCAGTTACAAATGATTCATTTACCTAAATTCCCTAAACTACCCTTTAAACCCCTGCTATTTACTTCAGTAAACCAAACCTTCAACCAAATTGCCCAAAAGTCTTTGGGCTACTGCACTAGTAGGTTCTAGAGGCCTTTGGGCTCCTGAACCCTTGAAGCCCAAATTGTGATCCAAAAGACCACATGCCACAAATAGGTAAGCCCAAAATTCTGCCATTCCGGCATCAAGAAAGAAAAGAAATCTAACGGAGCAAAACAAAAGGAAAAATGAAAGCGAGACAACAAGCAAACATAAAATCAAAAGTACTGAAGAAAATGTTAATTACACTAATATGCTGATAATAATTAATATAACCTAAATCTAAACATGCAACAGAGATCGACTCGAACTAACAAAAGAAAGAGAAGGAAATAAGAAGAAACAGAAATATGTGACTTAAAATGCATACGAAAATGAACAGAAAAGATAAGAGATAAAAGGAACGAAAACAGAAGAAGATGAGCATGGGAATAAACAAAACAGAAATGATAAAAAGCAACGAAATACCTAGCTTAGTCAAACGGGAAAATGGCTTGAACAGACTTCTAGTGCTTTCCGATTTGAGGCGAAAAGGAGTGTTAGTCGATTTGTTCTTGTGAGAACAAACGTCTAGCACTCATTTTGGCCAAAATCGACTTTGAAAGTTAGAGAACAACGAAACCAGACCTTTTAATGAGGAATCGAAGGCGGGAATGGGTCTAGGTTCTATTTTAAGATCTGAAATTAAGGAAAACGGAGAGGATTTAGGGGAAATTGATGGTGACTTAGTGTTAGAGGGATTATGGGGAGAGTGTGGTGTTAATTTGGGGTTGATTGGAGTTCTATCGCCGGTAAAAATGGCGGAAATTCCTCAGGGCGATGCTGGTTCGATGATGGAGATGGTGTTTGAGGGAGATGAGAGACAGGATCAGTACAAAGTACTAGGTTAAATGAAGGGATTTCAGACAATTTTAAAGGGAATTGGGGAAATAACTTGGGGCCATTGGATCAAATGGAATGGAGGGTTCAGATTGGATCTCAGGGTTGAAAACTCATGACGACGTCGTTTGGTCGTTTGAATGAGCGGACCGGGTTGGGATAATTTGGGCCAGCTTGGACGGGTTTTTGGGGGAATCAATTGGGCTGATGGAAGTTTAATTAAAAATGGCCCAAACCAGACTTCTCTTTCAATTCCTTTTCTTTTCTTTTAATTTTAAAATTCTTTTTCTTTTCAAATTAAAAATAAAAACCTAAATTAATTCTTAAAACTAAATTAAACTACCAAATTATATTAGTTACTCAACATAATATTTACAATAATTAATTAAATCCTAAATTTAAAGAAAAAAAATTATAAAGTTCAGAATCAAAGAGTTAAAATGCAAAAAGAATTATTTTTTTTGTGATTTTTTCATATTTTATAAACAACTAATTTACTAATTAATAAAATTAAGCCCTAAATGCAATGCAATGTATTATTTTTTTTGTATTTTTCATGAATTTAACAAAAATTAAGCATGCACAAAAAAATACAAATAATCAGAAAAATTCTACAATAATTTCTAAAATAATATATAATTAAAAAAATAATTTAATTCTTTGGAATTCTGTAGGAGTAATTCATGTGGGGTAAAAATCACGTGCTCACAGTCCTAAAAACGGCCATATGGTACAAATAGTCTCTTATGTATACAAAAACAAGCTCGGTATAAAATTTGGTAGAACTAACATCAGGTAGCCATTCTAAATGCCTGCTATTCAGGAATTAGCCAGTGCATCCTGAATTTCAATTTTTTAGTTTAATTTTTCTTGTCCTAAAGTTAAGATTTTTAGTTTAAAATTTTAGGATAAAATAAATGAGTGCACCCCATAAAATATGTCCAAAAACCAATGTCATTTGGAAGAGACGATGTTTAACTTTTGTCATTGTTTAAGGAATTGAAGCAAGCTAATTATTTGAAACACGCACTTCTTTGAAGCGCATGGTTTCACTCATGAAATGATAATTAATTCCTTGTTTTACACTGTTTCATTGCTTTGAGCAGCGAAGCGATATTTTAATTTTGATGACACTAGTCTTTAAAATCCAAAAATAAAGCTTTCAAATTGTTATTAAACTGCACTAAGTTAAGTCTTCATTCTAGGACCAAGAATGCCTACAAATGTTAAAAAATATGAAGGAAGAGAAGCATCAAATGCCCCGGAACTAAGCTTGCCATCGTCCAAAATTTGGGAGAAGTTGCTTTAGAATCTTGAGAGTTGGGAATATCCGATCCATTACCGTACACGGCGTTTATATTTGTTGGTGGTGGTGGATACAAAACTGGGATGGTCGAGATTTCTCCACTTGTGTTATTGCGGCCTCCCGCTTCGGGAGGAATCAGCCCACCAGCAGCCCTAATAAAAAATTCACAATCCAAGGCATTGCGCTTGAGATATATACAAGGAGTAGCAAATTAATGTTTGACAAGGCTATATAGAGACAATCATATCCATAGAAATTAAAATTCAAGTCTAAATAACGACAATATTCTGAACATTAATTTTAACTTCTTTTACGCTAGCTAACGGTTTAAACGAAATTCGTTTATACTTTCAGATTACCTAAAAAGTTGTTATGTACGGGTAAACCATTCATAATAAGTTGCACTAGCAACCTCAAAAGTCAGACAAGAATTATATGATGCTATAACAAGTTAAATTACACTTATTTTTACAGTGTTGGTGTATATAAATTAAATCGTAATATAAATAAAAACAAGAATTAAAAAGAAAGACAACCTAAGAACAGCAGGAACATCACCAATACAGTCCCAGTCATGCACACTAAGAAAGCACTATATAAAAGGAAGAAAGATAAAAGTTTGCTCATGCTGTTCTACTTTTTTTTAAAAGAAAAGTAGCATTATTTAGGGAGCTAAAGTGGAAGAAAAAGTACTTTTTTTAAGGAAACAAATGTTTTTCCTATTGTCTTCTTTCTTCATATTTATCGGTGTATTATATACCTCTTTTTCCCTTTAAATTTTGAACACCAATATGTTATATGTATATTCAAAAATTCAATTCACCAAAAAAAAAAGGAAAGAAAAGAAAACATAAAGCGTACAACAACAACAAATCCTGTAAATTTCCACATGTAAGGTCTGAAAAGGATAGATCGTACTACAACTGAAACACAACTTTGAAAAGAAAACGTAGTAGAAAATCATGAATGGTAAAAACAACACAGAAAAAAGATGGAAAATAAATGATTAATAAAGCAAGTTTAATTAAAACAACATACCTTGGAGAAGCTGGGTAAACACAAGATCCATAGCCTAAGAAAATACAGAATAAATCACAACTCAGCCCATTAATGCCTATGTTCTAGCTATTTTGTATAGATTTTAACTTTTATATAATATAGTAAGAGAACTTTAATTCTATGAAATTACCCTAAAACTAATAATAGGAATAATATTTACTCGTACTCAGTATTTACATGCATCAAACTAAATAGCGAAACCTTTATCAGTTATAAATTAAAATGACAATACAATCCCTTAACCATGGTTAAATACATTCATTTGTTTCCTGTAAATATCAGATGCGATAAGTTTTTACACTGTTCATAATAGGTGGAACTAGTTATATAAGAAAAGGCAGATAATTAACCAACTATCACATATCAAACTATACTGAAAGTGTAAAATTATTTTCACTATCGGTGCATATGATCAATTAAACTATATCCTTGTGCATAAGAGATGAAACAACAACAACAAACTCAATATATTCCCCAAGTAGGGTACGCAGATCTTAGAACTAACTTGTAAAAGTAAAAATGCAGTTTTCTATAGACCCTCGACTAAAGAAAAGATAAAAAAGGAAGCACTGACTACAGCAAGATACGATGATAAGGAAACCGAAGCGAAAGGAACATGTAGTAATAAAGATCTAAGTATAAGAAAATGCATGAACTTGTGCATAAGAGATGGAGAAAGAAATTACTTGGATCGGTTTTGGCAATAGTAGCAGTGCCAGAAAATCCACAAGAGCCAGGGGCTTCATTTTTCCTCTGATAGAAACTATTATAAGCATAAGAAGCATGATTTTGAATAGTATTTGGGAGATAACAAAGGCCAGAAGATTGAATAGGTACACAATCAGCACCATAGCTACAAGCATAATCTAAACCTCTTTGTAAAGCTTGTGCACTTGCATCACTTCTAACAACACACCATGTTGCTTCTACTGTCACAATAATAATATTTAGGCTGCAAAATATGACTACAAATATGGATAATATTGATGGTGTTTCCATGAACATATATACAGTGACGGATCCAACCACGGGTTCAAGATTTAGAGTTTACGGTCGATAAAATGTTTCTGACCTAGAGATAAGAGTTAGATATACATTTCAGAATCCGTACTCTTAACTTAACACTCACAACTTTTAAATTCTGAAATTTGGTAAAGAAAGAAAGAGAGGAAAAAAAAGAGAGGAATGATTTACAATTGTGGACAAAGCAGACTGAGAATTAAGTGGAATGGAGATATATATTGTGTTCTTTATTTATTTTCCTTTCCTGTTTATGTAATTTTCTTTTTATCTTTTATGGGTGTTGTGCGTTGTGTCATCTGTTTCTTTTTATCTTTTCAAATTTGCTTTTCTGCGTTGGGAGTTTGAACCTTTAGGAGCTTTTACTTTCCAATAAGATTATACACATACTACTAAAGTAATATGATAGATTTATATATTTTAATAAGTAAATATGACATGATATTGTAACAGTTTATACTGCCTTGCATATAAGCTAAACTCTTATAATATACTGTAAACATAGAACGTACAATTAAATCTCTATAGCAATATTATTTAGTATGATATTTTTAGATTTTTATAGTGAATGACCGTTATACATCTAAAATAACATTTGAATTTTAAATATTTTGTAGTTGTTATAGATAAAAATTATGAAAAAAATATTTTTTCCTTTTTTAATGTTCCATATAAAAGATAAAAAAAATATTTAAAATCTCAAAAGATATACATATTTCACTAATTAAATATTAGAAAAAGTTAATATATTATTAATAAATTTATAACTGAATGTACAAGGATTTAAACTCTAAGGTACACATTTTAAAGCAACTAAAATTAAATTCTTCGAATCTTAAATATTATAAAAGATGAAAACTTTGTCCTACATGTACAAAGATTTAAACTCTAAGGTACACATAGTGAATGACTGTTATATAAATGTACAACTATTTGACTAAAAAGATAATGGGATCTTTTCGAACAAATCAATTAAAGAAAATGAAGGGTAAATCTTAGCTAAGTATAATAATCTCTAGAACAAAAGATATACGAGATGAATACAAAGGATAATATTTCTTGACCTTCTCAAGAATGATCGAACAATACTGATATTAATCGTTTTGTAAGCAAGTGTTTACAACAAGTGTTCTTAGTTGGAAAAATGCAGAAGCAGACCCTTACAAGGTTGTCTTTACGCAATATATATAAGAGACAAACCCCTTCTAAGCCCTAAAAGATAAATCATAGGGAATATTCGAAAGAATATTCCTAATGCCCCCTAATGGACCTACACTACTGCAAATGTCGTACAATCTCTTGTTCGCTCGACGGTCGTCCCTTGCAAGATGTCAAGCTACGAGGATCTCATCGCTTGTCGTACTCATCAATAGTCGTGGTCATCCAAATTTGGACCCATACAGTTAGTCCCTCCGCTTGTCGAGGTTGCAACTTGGTGCGTCCTGGATAAGCGGATACCACTCGCTCTTATGGAGAAATTTAATCTTACAAGGCGTTACGGCTTGTCCAATAATGGGCAGTCAGCGTGCTCAGCAAGACACCGTATAGTGTATTTTATTGGGAAATAACGTCATCTCCACGTGCGTCATCATATGCATCTTTTCGAGACAGGGGTTGAGGGCTTGTCGCTTCGATTTCGGTGCCACTCTGCAACCTTCCGCTTCGATTCTGGCGCCACCCAATCCTATAAATAGGTGGAGGATTTGTTTTTTCAAAAACTCTTGGCCATTTCATTTCTGGTCATCCTTTCTCATTCCTCCCGAGTTTGTTCTAACAACCTTCTGCCTCTTCTTCTCCCATTCTTCGTTCACAACCTTCTCTAGTATTTTAGCACCTTTTTCATCGAAGAAATGCCAAGAACACATCAATCTTGTGAGGGGGTTTCTGAGGCCACCCTATTGTCTATGGCGCTCCCCTCTGGCGGTGAAGATATGATGGTGGAGGAGGGAGATAGTTTTCCCACCGCGGAGGAGTTGCTGCCGAGACACCCCATGTCTCGAAGCGACTTCCTCAAGGATCGTCCTCCTACTCCTTCCCCCGTGCTCTCTGAAACGGAACAAGTTCACATTGATGCTCTCCATATAAAGTATAACATCCCCGCTCATGTTGATATGGTTCCAGCGAGAAGGGACTTCGTGGAAGTCCATAGGCCTGGGTACTATGCTTTTTATGAGTACCCTTTTGTGATTGGTCATTCTTTCCCCCTCCTTCCGTTAGTGGAAGAGTTCTCTAGATTCTATCAAGTTTTTCCGGCGCAACTTTCACCATACACACTTAAGATACTCATGCTGTTGACAAAGTATACGGAGTTGGCGGGATGCGAGGTTACTATCTACCACCTCTTGCACCTGTTCTAGCCCAGCTTCCACAGGGGCACTATGGTGCATTTGAAGCACCGTGAAAAAAATGGGCCGGTGGTTGGGACTGACGATCGAGCAAGTCGCAAGTTTTGGCATAAATACTTCTTTGTCAAAACTGAACACATTGTTTTTGACCCCGCCAGGTTCCCGGAATGGTGGAACGAGACTCGTAAGTGTCGCCACTTATTTTACTCTTTCTTTTCCTCTTCATTCATTATAGGGTTTGTTTGCTTCTCGTTTGCAGCTATAGGGCGTCCACCCCGCCCTATTGTGGGTATAAGGGATTAGGTATCCCATCTGTTGCCCCATGCAGAAGAGACCCGAGATTGGGCCACCTTCGTAAAACGTTACGGCCCAAGAGTTTTATCTGGTAAATATTTTACCCTATATAACTTCGTTGGTTATACACTGTCATCTATTGATTCGACTCTTCATGACGGCAAGTAGATGAGCTTCCAGGCGGAAGGCCTTAGTCCCTGCATTCCGACAGGTTGTCGCTGTTACCGGAATGCAGTTTACTTTGACTGAATCTGTTCGAGGGGGTGGTCCTCAGCCGATTCAAATGGAAGGTTCCTCTTGGGATATGGTCATGAGAGAGGAGGCTTCTTCCGTACTGACCCTTCACCTCTTGGACGAATCCTCTAACGAGGATGAGTTATTACTAAGAAAAAGGAGGAGAGTGGAGCTCGGGAAGGACGTGGTCGTGGATGTTGGTAGAAGTAGGGTGGGTGCATCATAGACGGCACCTGTGCCCACATTTATGGTCGACGCCATATTAGCGGGGAGATCTCCTATAACGGAAGGGGTTTACCTAGGAGCCGGCTCCGTGCACTCTGCTGAGGGTGACACGTGATCCAACGTTAGAGGAGGCCTACACATTAAAGGCGAAGGCTCAGGTTTAGATATCGACCCAGAGGACGTTCGTGAGTTTGTAGGGCACCATACTTATGTGGAGGTCAGAGTGGAAGGGTCTGATCGTCATATAGTTGTCCTAAGAGACTATAACCTGTTATCGAACTGCGATCAAGTGGCGTCTGCTTTATCCCCTCTGTGTGTTGGCCCCGAAAGTGAGGTGCTTAGAGTTATGAGTGACATGGAGTTGTCTCAGAACGTTGCCGGCATGGCCTTGCGGGTAGGTGTCTTTCTTTTCCTTTTCGTCGTTGGGTCTGCGTAATTATTGTCGACTTGTCGTTTTGTCTTAACTTCTTTCTTCTTATGCTTGACCCTTATCATGGAGACCGAGCGCGAGCGCCGGGAAAGTAAAAGGACGGCCATCTATGGGAAAATATCTTCCAAATATCAACAATATCGCACTAAGCATCATGCAATGGCCGACATTTAAAATCAAGACCCTGATTTTCAACTGTTCCGTGAGGGACTTAAACAAAGGGAAGACCAACTGGCGCACAAGGTCGATGAGCTGAGGGAGCAAGATGAGGAACTTATGAAGGTCGTCGCCCGCAACAGTGAACTTGAGGCCTCCCTTAGGGTGAAGGAAGATGAGCTTGAGTTAAGTAGAGGGGTGATGGCTGAGAATGTCGACTTGTAAGCAAAGGTGTCCAGTTTGACCGCTGAATTGGGTATGAAGGCGGTGGAGATTGATGGGCTTAAGGGTGAGTTGAGTGTTAGTGCCGATAAGTTGGCGACTGCTATTTCTAAAACGGCGGCCTTGGAAAATACCCTCCGTGTCTGTAGGTCGGAGCTGACCAAGGATAAGGAGGCATCTGAGTTTAAGGTAGTAGGTCTTGAGAGACGTGTTAAGGAGTTGGAGGCGGAGCTATCTGTACTAAACAGACAAGTGGCATCGTTGAGAGCTGAGGACGCGAGTCGACGCTCGTAACCTTTTACGTCTCGTGCCTTGGCTGACCCTGTCGTGCCTCGTCGTTTATATGAGTTGTAGGTTCATGCTGAGGCCCGACTCGATGTGTACAAGGCTTTTCATACTGACAGGAGGGCATCTGAAGTAGAACTCCAGGGTGTGCGTGCAGAAGCTCGTGTAGCTCGAGAGGCATACAGATATGACCCACTTACACCCTATGGGGATGATATAAACTCTGATGATGCGAATCGTCTTGCCTCTGACTCTTGGTATGAAGATGCGTATTCTGCCGAGGATGATGTGTAATTTTTGGTTTGTACACATTTTTTGCTTCAGGGTTTTTGTAAGGGCATGTTTGAGCATGTTGTAAAGATAGATGCTAGTAATATTTTGTTGTAATGAAGAAATCATTTTGTCGATTTGGTGATAATCTTTGTAATTTTTATGACATCCCGGATACTTGTCGATTTGTTGAGCCGAATTTGCTTTGGGTGAGGTCGGGCCCTTTTCTTTTTGGTGATAGCCTTAGCCTTTGGGATGCTACTATCGAGTTGGCGTCGAGGTGGTATCCCGTCGTAGTTCGAGTGAAGGTGAACTCATTTTTCGTCGATGGCCTTAGCCATTGGGATGTTACCTTCAAACTGGCATCGAAGTGGGATCCCATCATAGTTCGAGTGAAGTCAAACTCGTTTTTTGTCGATGGCCTTAGCATTGGGATGTTACCTTTGAACTAGCGTCAAAGTAGGATCCCGTCATAATTCGAGTGAAGTCGAACTCATTTTTCGTCGATGGCCTTAGCCATTGGGATATTACCTTCGAACTGGCATCGAAGTAGGATCCCGTCGTAGTTCGAGTGAAGTCGAACTCATTTTTCATCGATGGACTTAGCTATTGGGATATTACCTTCGAACGAGCATCAAAGTAGGATCCTGTCGTAGTTCGAGTGAAGTCAAACTCATTTTTCTTCGATGGCCTTTGCCATTGGGATGTTACCTTCGAACTGGCATGGAAGTAGGATCC